ATTCATGCCATTCTACAGAACTTGGAGAAGATATGTGTACGCATGCATGCGCACGTGTGTGTGTGTGTGTGTATGCATGAGCGTGTTTGTTTGAAACTAGAATTTATAAGGCAAGTCAGGCATTTCAGCCCCAGCTTTAATCGGGAGCAGGTTTTATCTGAAAGCCTTCAACAGCCTTCTGAACTTTGGTCAAAACTTCCTTTACACAATGATGTCAATCTTACTGACACTCTGATTCCCAAAACTTTGGATTCCTAGTAGCCATGTGCTCTGACTCACCACGGCCAGTTGACTTCAGAGACAGCATGTTCATAAGCTTCTTTGTTCTTTATAGAACCCTTAGTTTGATCATTCTTTTTGTTTGTTTTTAATCAGTTCTCTGTCAGTACTGCCATTTCCTTGATATAATAAAGCTCAGTAGAGCGAGCTAAGAAGTCTCAAAACTAAGAGTCTTGTTCCTTAGGCTCAACTATTTGTCTGCCAAAGATGAAGAAAGGGAAATCACTGGTTGTGGGAAGAACGGCACTTGGAAAGGTAAGTGAGCCAGCGACTTTTAGCAAAGCCACCTGCCTGAGTGACGAACATGCCCTGGAATGGAAGGGACAGCGAGAAGCAGTACGATTAAGAGTGGCATGCATACAACAACAAAGTGAACTGAGAGGTTTCCTTATATAAAACGTTAGAAATTAACTGTTTTGTCAAATATTATTATATTGAGTCTTCTAATTACCATGTGAAACTTCACAGAAAAATGATCCAGGTCCCACATTGGTAGAACCACAATTTGATGCTGTTTGGTTCCAAATAATTTTGAATCTTTCAGGTAATTAAATTATCATTAATTTTCTGGTTCTGTATAATTTATCAGTCTTAGTTATTTTTTGAAACAAGCCCAAATAAAAATACTATTTTAACTAAAAAAAAAGAGTGGCATGCATGTGAGGGTGTAACACAAATGACCGAGAACTGAGGCCAAGAAACGTGACTAGCAGAAAAGTATACAGACCTTGTCAAAAGTCAAATGTAAAATTTTAAAACTAAGGCTTACACGGGGAAAGGCAAAGATGACACCATATGGAGGAATAATCCTAGATGTACCAGGCATGAATAAGGTAACTGTTCAGAAAGTCATTAGATTCCTATGGATAAAAGGCAATACAGACTCATAAAAACAAAAGAACCACAAATCTTACTGTGCTTATAAAACGGAAAGGTCTAGTGAGACAGCCGATAATGTATTTAAATAACAGTCAACCTTGGGTATTCGTCCATGTGATATTCCAATTGGATGCCCAAATGAAAACAAAACACTAAAGCCGGTCTTCTTTTACAACTAGAAAATTTATGGAATGTCTACTTCCTTGAAGTGGAGCCAAGTGTGCTAAAAAAAGTTGCATACTTCTTTCAAAAAAGTGCAAAGGCAGGCATTTGATATTCTTTCTGTGATATGAGGAAAGACATTATTAAAGTGGGATACTAACTGGTGGGATGTTGAAAAACCACCAAAAAAAGTTCAAGAACAGTTGAAGGCTCATAGTTTGGCCTATTCGTTTAGACCTCGGATAAGGTGAAGAGAGTGTTAAGGACTTTCCAAAGGCAATACATTTTCTATCCATAAACTACTGTCAATGTGAAATAAGTTCCTAGGAATATTTAGATGTGTGAGGGGCAAAAAAGATGTACCCAGTCAAATTAGAGAGGCAACATGTTATAAAGCCCATACATTCCACAATAGTATCTATACAGAAACTTATTTAGGGATGGGAAGGACTTACACAATGAGAACTATAAATCACTGCTCAAAGAGATCAAAGAAGAATTAAAGAAATCGAGAGATGTCTGTGTTCATGGATTAGCAGACTTCATAATGTTAAGATGCCAGTACTTCCCAAAGTCATGCACAGGGGCTATGCAATCTGAGTCAAAATTCCAACAGCTTGCTTTACAGAAATTGAGACATTAACCCTCAACTTTATATGGACTCACAAGAGGCCTTGGATAGCTAAAACAATGATAAAAACAAATAATAAACTAAGAGAAATCATACTTTCTGATTTTAAAATATGCTCTACAGCTTTAACAGGAATCCAGGTGACACAGAGAGTAATGTTTTGGGCTTCTCACCAAAGTTTATCAGTTTGAAACCACCAGCTACTACATGGGAGAAAGATGGGTAGTCTCCTCCTGGTAACATTTACAGCCTCAGAAGCCTGATGGTTGGTGGCTAGGAGTCAGAACTGAATCAACAGCAGTGTTTGGAGGTGTCTGATTTTTTAAAAACCTGCTACAGTAATTTAAATAGCCTAGGCAAAAAAAGCCTAATGGCTAGAAGTTGTGCTGCAATCCTGAAGGCATGAGGTTCGATTAACTGCCTCTAAAAATCTGCTGAAGGGTCAGCTAGGGTTTGGTTCTGATTCTACAGTACAACACAACAAAACATCAATGGAATAGAACTGACAGTTTAGAAACAAGCCCATACATCTATGGTGAACTGATTTTTAAAGGATGCTAAATCCATTTGATGAGAAAAGAAATGGTTTCTTCATAAATAATGTGGGGAAATTTAATTTCTACATTTAGAAAAAGGAAACGATCCATGCCTCACACCATCTATGAAAAAAGAATTAAAAAATTGATTAAGGACCTAAGTATAGAACTAAAATGATAAAATTCTTAGAAGAATAAGCAGAGGCAACATTGACAGAGCCTTGCTTTCAACAATGGATCACTGGATATAATCATAAACCCACAAATGGTAAAAAAAAAAAATAAGAGTTGTTATATACTGTTGCATTGGATAGCTGACCCTCCAATGGAGTTTTCAGAGGTAGTAAATCACACAGAAGGAGAAAGCTCATCTTTCTCTCTCTCTCTCGAGGAGTGGCTGGTGAATTCAAATTGTGTGCCTTTCATTGGCAGGGTAACCCCTTACCACTAAGCTAAACAGAATCGTCTTAATAAATAAGTAGGACTTCATAAAAATGAAAAACATGTTTATCAAAAGAGTTTACAAAAAATGCTAAAAGACAAGCTAATGTCTAGAAGAGTATCTTCAGAAATCATATACTCAACAAGAATGTAACAACCAAAATGCATGTAAAGCTTCAATCACAAAGAAAATCACGACGAACAAATCATAAAATGCACAAAGGACTTAACTGTCCTTTGATGCACCAAAGATGACATATAAATGGCCGCCAAATGCATGAAAAGATATTAGAGATCAAATCTAAATCACAATGATTGATACTTCCACTAAGCATGGAATGAGAAAAAGTCTAAGATAAAAAAATTAAAAACAACAACAAAAAATTCCCAAACAAAACATCAGAAAACAACCAATAGTGGCAAAGATGTAGAAAAATTGAAATTCTTACATATTAGAAATGCAAAATGGTACAACTGTTTAGGAAAACTAGGTAATGTTTCCTCTAGAAACAAAAACGAAAACTACCGTATGATCCAAAATTCCATTCCTAGGTAGATACTCAAAAAATCTGAAAGAGATTAAACTAGAGATATGTATGATAATGTTCATTGAAGCAGTTTTTACTATAGCTAAAGAAGAATGGTTAAACAAAATGTAGCACACACATATAATAGAATACTTACAGTAAAGGAAATGAAGTCTTGATACACGTTGTAGTGTAGATGGAGCTTGAAGCTATTATGCTGAGAAAAATAACCCAATTACAAAATAAGAACTACTGTATGTCCTCACTTAAGAGAAAGCAAGTGCATGGAAACCAAAGTTTTTTAGTGGATATGGAGGTAGACAGAGAAGAAAAGGTGGTGGTGGGGGAGGCTAATGATAGAAAAGTCCTGCTGATAAAAGGGAGAACTGCAGAGACAATTACCGTAATTGTTGTCAGTAAGCTGTAGACCTGTAAAAGCGTCAACTGGCAGAATATGTGTGATAGATACATTTACAATAATGATGGAGGGTCCAGTGTGTCTTTTCTACTCTCAAGTTTTTGGCATCATATCTGGGTTTAACAAGTTTGCAAGCAGGAATTTAAGGCACAACAAATGATCTTTATTCACCTGGAACAATAGAGAAAAAAAGGTCAAGAATAGGAACAGAATATGGTATTTGTGGCTAACTGCCTCTATCAACAACTCTCTCTTCTGCCATGAGACCAGGATGGCAACCATTACTGCACCTTCTGATCAGAGATGCCATAGAAAAATCCTGACCAAAAGGATGAAAATGTAGACAGGAATTAAAAATTCTCATGGACTCTAAGCTTGCTGGAGTCATGGAGGGTGGACGAATCTCTACAACTATTTCTCTAAAATAATATTTAAGTCTTATACCAAAAATAAACTTTAGCTTCTGCCAACAACTTGAGGTAAAGATGATTTAAGAACATGATTGTTTTTACAGTTTGGCTTAACTAGCAAACAAGATTTGTCTTGAGCATTACAGTCTTTTAGGATCTATATGAATCTAACTGACAACAGCAACTGGAAAGATTAGACAAGAACCTTAAATGGAAAGGAGCATGTGTTAATAAAGGAAAATTAATCAGAGAAAGAGTGAGAATGGTGCAGAACTTAGAATTCAATCAATGACTGTTGAAGTGCATAGTCTCAACACCACCACCACCACACAAAAATGTAGGGGGAAGGGATCAACAAAACCCCAAAACCATATATTTAGTACAATCTACTAATAAGTAAAAGATCAGAAAAACCTTCTAAGTTTAGTAGAAGGATCTCAGTTCATACCCTGTGCTTCTTTATAATGGCATAGGAAGAAAAGCAGTACCAAAAAAGAACAATGTGAATGAAGGAATGTGTGAAATATGATATATATGAATGAAACACAATGTGCACCAACTTTGTTTGCAAACCAATATAAAAAAACAAACAATGAACTTTGCATCCAACTAGGAGTTTACAGCAATACTCACTTACTTAGTAAAGAGTTGATTATTCTTAGCAATTCAAGAAAGCAGGTCAGATGTTGGACCTAAGAGTGAAGAAGTGCTACTTACCTGTGCTATGTTTTTGTTCAGAAGATAGACACCATAATCAAATTGCAACTTCTCTCCGCCTTTTGGATACAGTGGAAACCTAAGAAAGGTAAAGAAAGAAGTTTAACAAAATTAAGCAAAGAAAACAAACAAACAAAAAACCAACAAAACCCTCCAAGTTGCTGGCAAAGGCTGAAATTGAATGAGAGCATAAATATTTAAAGGATTAGATTAAATTATTTCATCACAGGTAGTTACTGTAGGCGATAATCTTATATCTTTATAACATTTGCCAATTCAGAACAATGAATCTCTTCTTCCAAAGGAATAACTAAATAACTCATGCAACAGGGGACTAATGTGTAAAAAAGTGACCCACCAACCCTAAGAAGCTGAGGCCACTCTTCTTATTTAAATTTCATAAGCTTGCCACTCTCATTAAGATCAGAGAAAATGTTTCCTTAAATACGTTAGATTTGACATTTCAACTTAAATGGGAAAAGAAGATTAAGGAAAATAAATCAGACTTTAAAACAGTATAAAGATTTCTGTTTCTACTATGGTGCCCAGTAATGTGTAAAGAATCTGTAAAGGTAAAAATTAGTTCATAAATGTTGAGGTGGCAATTTGGATGTGACTGCCTCAAGGCAATAGTGCTCCCATAGGAGTTTCATTTCAATCTGATTCAATGCATTCAAGGTCTGTGGATCTTCATAAAGATGAAGAGCTATTTTAGGGAACTCATTTCCTCCACTTTTTCTTTCCCTATCTGTGCAAAAAAGAACAGAAGGTTAGCATACACCTTATAATCTAGTCTTTCTCCCCCTGACTTTGAATACCAAGGCTAAATTTGATTCTCTGAAATAAACTTTTCTACATACGTACGGATCAAGAGGAAATGATTATCTTATAGTTTTATACCACATAATGATTCTATTCTTGACAATAACATGCTAATTGAAGTGAATGCTGTTGTTAGCTGCTGTTGAGTTCAGTACAAGTCTCAGCAAACGTATGAACTACAGATCTGAACCCTGTCCTACCCTGTGCCATATTTCTCATTCCTGAATAATCGAGCCCACTGCAGCAATCACTGTGTCAGTACATCTGGTTGAGGGCTTTCCTCTTTTGCCCGTCCTCCACCTTTCTAAGCCTGATGTCCCTCTCCAAGGGATAGCCTATCCTAGCAATATATCCAAAATATGTGAGATAAAGCTTTATCATTGCTGCCTCCCAGGAGCACTCTGGCTGCACCTTCTCTAAGACATATCTGTTTGTTCTTTTGGCAGTCCATTGAATATTCAGTGTTCTCCTCTGACTGAGATATGTATGTAATGAACAGCAAGATTCTACATTCTTAGAATGTGGACTTCACAATGTCAATCTTTTTAATACTTATTGCTCTGCATTAAGATTTCTTGATGTAAAGAACCACACTGTAAGTCTATAATATTAAGACAAATCTAGTCAACAATTAGGACTAAGTTCATCTAAGGCAATAGTAAGACAGAACAAATAAGAAAGTTCCCATTCTATACTGCTTTCAAATTTTCAACGGGTCGCTTTAAAGTTAGCAGTTTACAAGTTGATATGAATTGACTGTGACTTGATAGTACACAACAACAACAATAACATGTATCAGGTATTGCTCTGGGCCCAGAGAACACAAAAACTCAGAAACAAAATAAGCTGAATAGTGTAAGAGTTTAAAACTATTAAACATTTACTTACTAGCAACAACACATGCATTTACAGATCTAGTAAGCAATCTGAAAAAATTCTGTATTAAAAGGTAAAACCCCTACTATCATGATTTCAGACACAAAACAAAGGCATTTTATAGGTGGAGAATCACATTAGCAAACTAACAGCTAAGAGCTTGAATCTTAAGTACAAAGAGAAAAATATCCTTAAAAATAATGAAATACAAGCACAATGGACAGCAACCCTGTGAGTAGCAGATCTGACCCTCGGCCTGCCCTGACTTGTCCTCGCTGTCTCTGAGACCTCACCATCTCTGAGACCTTGCTGTCTCTGATACCTCTCCGTCTCTGATGTGCTCAAGCCTATTGCTGCAGTCACAATATCAATCCGCCGTGTTGTGGGTCTTCCTCTCTTTTGGTGACATTTATTATTATTTTTTTTTTTAAAAGAGGGTTTGGATTTCCATTCATTCATTGCCGCAATTTTCTCCCTGCCCACCCCTCCCCACCAGCTCGCTTCCCCCTCCGAAGAGAGAGAAAAAAATAATGAAATAAAGAGTTTTACAACTAGAGCAAGAATTATAGATTTCTCATTATTCCACTTGTAAATACAGGCAAGTGAAATGGCCAATATGAAATTAACTTCCAAATACTTATCTATTTGAAAAAAATATATCAAGTCTATATGGTGAAGATCAACGAATTAGGACGCAATACAAAGATTATGTGTGGAGCTCTGGTGGTCTAGTGACAACAAGTTGCTCTGCAATCCCAAAGGCACGTGGTTTGAAACCACCAGCTGCTCTGCAGGAGAAAGATGGGCAATATCTTCCTGTTCAATTAACTGCCTTTGAAAACCCGCTGGAGGATCAGCTATGGATTGCTTCTTGACTTGACAGTACACAATAAGAACAACATAGATTATGTGTGAAAAAGGCTTGGAACTCTATAGCACAGTGAGTTCAATAGGTAAAGAATTAGGACATGAATACCAAAATAAACAATCTGACCAGGTTGTAGCAACAGAAGCAGAAATGGTAAATAGGAAATATATTCCCAACTATTGTGGATTGGAGCAGATGATACCTAGAGAGAAGACCCCAAATGAAATGCATTGACAAGGTGCTTGCATCCATGGACTTGAACATGGAGGAGACCATGGTGAAGGTAAAGGACAGGGCATGGTTTTGCTTTGCTATTCATTAGGTAGTCAGGAATTGTAAACTTGAGAGTACCTAACAAAACACTTGGAGCTCTTCATTCAGTTCTGAGAATCAAATTTTTAAGTATACAAATCAGTAACCAGAGTGCTATATATACTTATGTTTATAGATAACTTTTGTAATAATTTCATTTGCATATAAAAAAGCATACACTGAAGTAGAGTGGACTGGTATTGCTATTATTTTTTTAAAAAATTACCCACTTTGGTCATCTGCTTAGTAAGTGGAAGAAATATAACTTCTGTATTAGGTCTTTTGACTATAAATTCAAGATTCTTTTTAATGCCTCTGAATCCTTTAGAGAAGCATGAACAAATAACAGACACACACTCAGAATGTGCAGATGTTGAACAGTGACCCTCAAAAAGTTATGGCCACTCCCTGATCACCAGAACCTGTAAACGTAATTTTATAAAAAAAAGGGTTTTTGTGAATACAGGTAAGGCCCATACGATAAGTACTGAAGATCAACAACATCTGTCTGGATACTAAGGTGCACCTAATCCAGGCCATACTCTTTGCAATTACTTGCTCTACATTAGAGAGCTGGACAATGACCAAGGATGACAGAAGAACTGATGCCTTTGAGTTGCGGTGTTGGAAAATAGTATTGAATAATATCATGGACTGCTAAGAGAACAAACGAGTTTGTCTGAAAGAGGGTGAAACCAGGCTGCTCCTTTTTTTTTTTTCCAGGCTGCTCCTTGAAGGAAGGATTTTGAAGCATTGTGCGACACTGGGCATGCTGCAAAGAGGGACCAGTCCGTGGAGAGGGACATCATACTTGGAAGGGTGGAGGGACAGCACAAGAGAAGGAAGACCAAGGATGAGACTGACTCAGTGTCTGGGATAATGGGGGTAGGTGTGTCATAGACAATGTGGTTTGGCTTAAGATAGAGCAGGGTTCAGAGTTGTTGTACACAGGGTCGGTAGGAGTCACAAGGGCTCAAAAGCACATAACAACAATAACAAGCTAAGTGGGCCCTAGATCCAAAAATAAATGTCCTTAGAAGAGACACAGAGAAAAGGCCAAGTAAAGATGGAGGTAGAGACTGGTGTTATACACCCACAAGCCAAAGAACACCTTGTTGTTAGGTCCTACTGAAATCAGAGCCAACTCACAGCAGACCCTCCAAAGCAGGTTCACAAACAATTAATTGCACAGAAGGAAATGGACCATCTTTCTCCCATGGAGCAGTTGGTGGATTCGAACTGTGTGCCTTTTGAATTGGCAATGTAACTCCTTACCAGTTAAAATGATTCACCCTCAGAGTTTTCTCAAGGAGTGCAGTCTTGCTAACATCTTGATTTTGGATTTCTGTTTTCCAGAACTGTGAAATGAACAACATTGCTTCTTTTAAATTAACAAGTTTGTAATAATATGTTATAGCAGCCCAAGAAATTGATACAGAGAATCAAATACTTGGCATCCATTGGGCTAGATGAGCAATAAGATCTCCTTCAGCTCCAGGATTCTATGGTTTTGAATATAAAATTTGATATTTTTTTTCTTCAGAAGCCAACAGAACATTTCAGGATCACAATGCCAAAAGGTCATCCCGACAAACAGTAGCCCAAGTAACAAAGTAGCCTTGAAATAGAGTGCCAGAAAAAGAATACACACTGAAAGATGGTCCTTGAAGAGTATGTCACATCTGATTTAGGAAGGAGAAAATGACTATGTAAAATAGCTACTAAACCTTCTTATTTTAAAAAAGATATATTGTTATCTTGCCAACCCAGAGAATTTTCTAAAGGACCCCGTGCTCGTCACAGTTCGTCACAGCTATTTGCTTTCACCTTTAAACATACGAAGATAATTTCTGCTGCTTGTATTTGCTGAAGCCATGACTTTATATCAAACTCTGCATACTTTCTCCAGTCCAAAATAGTTTCCCATGACAGTTGTACTCTATTAGTTACTAAGGCTTAGCGTGACAGTAAATTTTTATCTCTCTTGTCATTAATATGTAATCACCTATCAAGCTGCCAAGTCATGTATTTTCCCTCTGAAACACTCTTAACTCTCTTTTCTCCCTATGTGACTCTTTTGGTCTAAGTACAGCTTTCTTAGCCTTGGCCTTGTTAACATTTTGGGCTGGACGAGCCTTTGTTACGAGAAGCTGTAGGGTGTTCATCAGCATCTGTATTTCTACCCACAAGAAGCCAGTAGC